CGGCCCTCCTAAATGAATATGGAAGTCGGTTTTTGGCTTAAAATTTACTAGTTATGTTTTTCTGCACCAAAAAAATTATTTTTACCAAAAATTTACTTAGCACTTTTGCACCTTTAAGTAGCGATAAGTACCTTATATTGGCCAATTCCTTTAATTTTACTTCGAAGGTCGAAGGCATATAATGACGAGATTATGAAGATTTTCTACAAAATTTTACTAAAATAAATTATTGTTTTTATGAGCTTAGAAACTACTTTTATGTGCTGTATGTTTGGGTATACTTTCCTTGTATTTGCTAATCCTAACTGAAAAAAAAAATGTTTTATAATAACAAATTCATTTCAAATGTTTGACTATAAAAATATTAATTAAAAAAGAAAAAAATATACGACGCCTAATTATACTATTCACCAAAAGTTACTTCCTTAAAGGACTACTACAGGCAAGAAAGAGATCGCAGACAAAAAGCTGGTCTTTGAAAAATGTAATATATTTAATTACGGACTTTTAAAATATATTAATAAAGCTTAATTAATTAAACTTAACTGCAAATAAAATAGTAATAACGTAAACATCACTTTCTTGTACTCCTCTGATTTATAATTTTAGTTTTTTTACGAAGATTCATAGATACATAAGTGAATTCTTTATAACTAATAATAAATGCTTATAATTAACTACAAAATTAAAAATAAATAAATATAAAATTGTATATTCTTGTAACAGTCAGTTTGTACGTTCATAAGTTCTAAGTTTTGTAATACGTATGTATCGAAAAATGTTCTGATTTGCTATTTTGTAAAAGCAAAGCACTACTTTAATACAAAAATAAAATAAAGGAACTTGTTAGAATATGTATGCATAAGGTAATCTTGTTGATGTCTTTTAAACAATCAAACAAAGAGAAAAAATGATCAACGCATTTTTACCGTCAACTAGAGTGTCGTACTTCCAGCAGGAAATTGAAGTAATAACTGTAAATATTGCTGAAAGAAGTTAGTAGATGTGCCATTGATCGACGCGTTTACCGGCTATACTCTGTTTACTCCATCGACTGAAAACATGCTAAGGGTCAGTTACTCAATGTCTGGCTAACACTAAGGGCCGGTTGCTCAAAGCCTGGTTGCCACTTATCCCCGATTAGACATCGTTATCGACGTTACCGACACCGTGTTATATGCATGGAGTCAAAAACGTCGATAACGATGTTAACCGATGATTAGGGACAACCAGGCTTTGAGTAACCGGCCCTAAATGCAGGTTAAATGTCGTAAACACGTAACCTGTAGTTAGTATTAACCAGACATTGAGTAACCGGCCCTTAATCTATTTTATTTCTTAAATGTATGCATTAATACCGTTCTAAATGGGAAGAGACGACACACAGTGTGGGAAATTAACTTTTTTGTGACAAAATCAATTATTTTCAGAAGGAAAACACATTGCGAAAGAAATGTAACGGCATTTGTACGAAAAACTATACGCAAGAGGATGGATTCTGTGTAGCCCTGATTATCTTTTCATTACTTGATGACCTTGGTCGATCCGTCCGAGGCTTCTTGTTTAAATTTCTGTACTCATGCTTTCATGAGTTGAGTACTCGGTGATTCATTTAGGTGACGCAAATGATGCAGATTTAAAAAAATTGGTCACACAGTAATTTTGAAGTACCGGCAACAAATAAATTATCCCAATAAAAAATTGCCACGTGCAATACCATTTTAGCTATCGGCAACGCAATCTAAGTTCGCCTAATCTAATCGTAAAGTTTGTAATCGACTCACAAATGTCCAAGGCCGGGTTAGCAATAGGCATAACCCTGCGCTCCTTCTGCGTGCAATGTTTGCGCTGAAGGTGGAACAAATTAAAAAAAGACTTTTGGGTCACCCTGTAGTATACGGGGTTTTGTCTGATTTTACGATAACAATGGAAGTAAATTCAGTCATAAAAATTTAGTTATCAAAAGTTATCACGTTGACAAATTTTATCGAATCATCCATGTTTATAGTTCTCGAAATTTATCGAGGTATGCATATTTATTAAGTTATTGGAACGTTTCCAATTATTCAAATCGATCAATGTTTATTGTGCTGTCGAAATTTATAAACACAGAAAATTAGTTTCCGAACTTTACGGATAGTTATCGAGTTATCGTTATTTGTCAAATTATAATTATTTATGCAGTTAACGAAATTCATCGAGTTATCGTAATTCATGGGATTCTTGCAACTTATAGAGTTATCAATATTTATTAATTTACTAAAGTTTTACGATTTATCGAATCGAATTTTATCGCGTTACCAGAGTGTAACAAACTTTCTAAAAATATAGGGCTACAAAAATTTACCGAGTCAGAGAAATTCATAGAGGTATCCAAAGTTTACGGAGCTATCGATTTATAACGAGATATAAACATTTTTGAATTCTGGACATGCGTATATCGAGTCCCCGGAAACGCATAGTTATCGAAATTATTCGAGTTATAGAATTTTTTGAGGTATCGGGTTTTAACGTTTTTGAAGTTCAGTGAAATATTGATACGTTTCCAGTAAATAATTGTGTATTCTTCCATGAAAAACAGCTTCTCATAAATATAGAATCGCCGTTCGGAGTCGGCGTAAAACTTGTCGGTCCCCCCGCTTTGTGTGACAACATCAAGGCGCACGCCACAAATAGGAGGAAAAGCTCGGCCAAACACTAACATATGTGTATTTCGCCAGTAACTGGCGCTCCTAGTAAATTATAAAATGTTTACATTTTC